CAATATAAATCAACTTTATTAGTAATGAAAGAAAGTAAATGTATCGTGTCTACTTCCTGTCTCTCTAATTGGCAAATGAATATACTAGTTTATTAACTAAAATCAATGATATTGTGGGTTTGGGGAAAAGGTAAACTTTCATCCTAAGAATAAAAAGACTTCAACTTTTATACAGTGCTTGCAGTCTTAATATCAGAAATTTATATTAAAATAAAAACAAGGATAAATTTTGGCAGAGATTTATTTTTATAAATTTTCCTTAAATTGTTGTTTATAATTAATAAAAACTGAAGAGAATTTATTTAACAAGAGAATTTTAGATAAGTAAGTTGGGGCACTTCCATGATGACACATCAATATTGGATATAATAACATGGAAAAATGTGATGTATGATTGAGGGGAGAAAGATAGAAACAAAACATCACCATTACATGATCCCATTAAAAATTAAAACAATTTTTATGTTTACAAAAATAATACATAATTATATTTAAATTCAAGCAATCAGAAGTAGAATCTGGTAGAAAGCAAAGGCCCCTCTTCCCAGCCGTGAGATTCCATTTCCCAGAGGTAACCATGAATCCATGTTTTCTCATCCATACCTTTGTCTCTGTGTATACAGATGCATGCGCACTCACACTCACTATTACAGGACAGCTTTGGGATTATCTTGAGTACTTTACAGACGGGTTATCTCACTTATCCCTAGTCCCCCTTCAGGTTTAAATTGAGCACTCTCTGTGTCAGGAATGAGAGACAGGAAAAGATAAGGGCCAAAGAAAGCAAGGAAAGGAAGAGGGAAGATGAAAAGAGAAGAAATGAATGCAAGGAAAGGAAAGAGGGAAAAAAGAATCTACTTACCGAGCAGTTTTGGGCAAAGATAATGAAGAACTAGAAACAGAAGCAGTTGCCCATCTCTGTTCTCCCACCTCTGGTGCTCTTGCGGTTCTGGAAATTACAGTGGATGCCCAGTGACTTACATTGATTGATTTTTGAACATTAAGCCAGTTCTGCATTCCTGGGGTGAATTTTATGGATGGGATCTTAATGGCTGAGACTGGATGAGTAGACAATAAAGTATTTTACACCAAAACCTGCATCTCTTATTTAACCAGCATCTAGGTATGAGCCTTCTGGCCTTTGGAGGTGGTGATCCCCAGCTTCAGTGAGCATTAGAATTACCTGGAGAGCTAGTAGTTATGAAGATTCCTGGGTACCATCCCCAGAGATTCTGATCTAGTAGGTTTGGGTGGATCTGAGAATCTTCATTTCCAAGAAGCTTACAAATGAAGCTAATGATGCTACTATAGAATATAATGCAAAAAATCTTTTTTAAAAACCTACTGGATAAGGGAGATTCTTCCATATACAGCTGCATGCTTATATGTGCTTAGAATTTCTCTAGAGTTGCTGGCAATGTTTGCCTCTGAAAACTCGCATCTGAAGGAAATTCATATGAGGCAGACTTACTTTTCACTCTTACTTAAATCTTTTTTGAACTATTATTATTACCCATTTAAAAGTAAATAAAATAAATATGTTATATTTTCCCCCAACTCCCTATTAAATATAAACACACACGCCTTTTGAACCAGCAAGATAACTTCTAAGAATTTATTCCACAGCTATATCTAAGCATGTGCAAATGACAAGGTTATTCATTGCAGCTTTTTTTTTTCATAGAAAGAGGTTACAAAAAATTGAAAGTCCATTAGTAGTGACCTGGTAAAATAAACTATATACATTGCTCAATGGAATAATATATAATCATAAAAAATAATATAAGCTAATAACGTACTGGTGTGAAACTGCATCTGTGACATAATATTAAATGGGAAGGCACAGAAAGAAGTATGTATTATGTTAATATTATATCAATAGTAGGAAACATTTATTAGTTTACATCTGCATAAAATATCCTGAGAATCCACCAC